AATTTTTTCCCTTTTTTTAAAAACATGGGTTGGGTAACAAATAGGAACTGGGGGGGGGGGGTCATTTGTTAAGTTAACTCTGATCGTTGAATTCAAACTTGAAACAGCGACTTTCTCTATTAATTATAAACACTTCTGTGAATCTGAGGATGGGCATGTGCAACCCCCGGTCCCGACGCCTATGATCATAATAATAAAATTCTAAAACATTTTTCAGAGAAATAGACCTGCCGCTAATACAACAAGCTTCCCCACTACTGGCCTGGAATGTGGTCAGTATAGGTTCAAATATTTGGCCTGATGATTAGGGTGCTCGATTAGCAATCTGATGGTCGCGGGTTCGAATCCCCGTTCCACCAAACATGTTCGCCTTTTCAGCCGAGGTGGCGTTATAATGTGACAGTGAATTCCACTATTCGTTCGTAAAAGAGTTGGCGGTGGGTGGTGGTGACTAGCTGCCTTCGCCTCTAGGGATGGCTAGCTAGCGCAGGTAGCCATTGTGTAGCCTATAGGCGAAATTCAAAACAAACCAAAAGTTGAATCATAACTTCAAAGTCTTCTTTAGTGAATCTTGTTTCTAAAATACAGGTAATAATTGGTTTAACGTTGGTAAACAAAAACTAAGAAAACCTTATACGAGAAACTACTGGATTAGAGGGAAGGAAACCAGTTATTCGGCTGTTACTTTTATAACGCACTTACAGTTGAAATATGAAGTGTGTTCGGAAGTTCTTGAAAAACAAAATAGTAACAACATAAAAAGTTATTTGTCGCTGACCAGAGAATCGAAGCTTCAGCAATCGGTGTTCTTCTTTAATATGATTAGTCGCATATTTTAGAATTTTTTATTTTTTTTAGTGGCTTCACTGTAAAAGGCTTATATCTTTCAGATATCGCAAAGTTATCTTAAAATCAGGCTTTGTATATCATTGATTATCTAAATTAAATGCCATTGTTTGTTAAGCCTAACGAAACCTAATGGGCTAAATGGCCAGGTCAGAGACGCCTGTGGTTCGTAGTCGTCCCTAATTTTGAGAAGAGGGAAGGCAACCAGTCAACAGTGCCTGCTGCCTGAAACGGTTGTTATTAACCGAATACCGGGATTGTCTTTCACTCTTATAATGCATCAACTGTTCAAATATGAAGTTTTTGGCAGCAACACGTCTCGAACCCGAGACCCTCGGATCCTCAGTCCAATACGTTAATCATTAGGCCACGCACAGAGGTTTAAAACAAAACCAACAGTTACTGTTTCTTGTAAATCTATTTTTTTATCCGACTTTAGTGACCCTGTGTGGAAATACGAGAGACTAGGTGCAATGACGTCACGGACCCTATTTGGAAATAAGAGAGATTATGTGCAATGACGTCACTAAAGAATAGTATCGCTGTTTCTTTTTCTCTTCTCATAATCTCTTTCAGCGCAACACATGGATAAGGCCTGCTAACTGCATATAGAACACCACAGATAAGGCCTGCTAACTACACATAGAACACCACAGATAAGGCCTGCTAACTACATATAGAACACTACAGATAAGGCCTGCTAACTACACATAGAACACCACAGATAAGGCCTGCTAACTACACATAGAACACCATAGATAAGGCCTGCTAACTACACATAGCACACCACAGATAAGGCCTGTTAACTAAACATAGAACACCACATATAAGGCCTGCCAACTACATGTAGAACACCACAGATAAGTCCTGTGAACTACATATAGAACACCACAGATAAGGCCTGCGAACTACATATAGAACACCACAGATAATAATGACAGTTGTTAAAGATGCATCTTCTGTCCTGCCTCTCTGAAGTTCAGAAAGATCCTTGTTCTGAATTATTGTTATAAAATAACTAACTACATCTCTGTGTTGATAGTGTTTTTATGTCTTCTATCATTGAACAATCTAACAGTTTATGAGAAGATACGAAGTCTGTGATTTCAAAATGAACATCGACTTAGCAGTAATCAAACTTTCGAACCTTCAGTTACTGTTCACCTTCAAGTCTCACGAATTATCGAAAAGTTATCATTGTAATGCATTTTATCATTGGGCGGGTTCGTTTGGATTATTTGTCAAAAATAATGACAAGTCCAGTTCAAAACGAATTAATTATTTCTTCTGATAACGTTTGTCACAGGCTATGTTCACTTGCAGGTATAATTTCACAAGCAAAATTTAAACAGAAATTCTGAAACTAATGTAATGCCTAACTCACAAATAAGATTACTTGGTAAAATCGCACTTGCTAATAGATCAATAAGCAAGTATGCTAACTCATTAGGTAACTGAATAGATGCGATAACTGTCACTTCTAATAGTGAATAAATTTTTTGACACTGGACTAAATAGAATAATCACTGAGTACTTATATTTATGTCATACCTTTGTTTCTACACGTTACATGAAGCTTCTAGAATTTGAACTTTCTAGATTTTAACTACAGTACCCTCCAGCAAACATCTAAATTAAAACATTGAAAATATAGTTTACAACAATAGAAATAGCCAATATCTAACATGATTAGTGTATTTTACATGATAAATAAAATGGATGGACCTAACAATAAAGTACAGAGTCAGTGTATATGATTAAGAAATTAAATTTTATATTATTACATTTAATAAAATTAAGTGTTTTCACTCTAGAAAAATGAACGAGAGTTAAATGTAAAAAGTGACAATATTGAGATTTGTTTTTAAATTAAATCTTATTTTAATAAATATAATATTAGGGTTCGAATTACCCATCTTAATGTTTTAGAGTATACACTTTTAAAAATATTTTACATATCTATTTTAAACTGGTTTATTAACCTAAAAAATACCATTTTAAGAAGCTTAAGCTGAGCAGAAGAGTGGAAAAGTATTTTTTTTTACTACATGCATATTTGACCATTTTTTTCTCATTTTACCGACTTGGGGAGACAGCTGAACTTTAACCTTTCATGTATCAAATACATGCATATGTTCAACTTGGGTACATTTTTAACGAACTTTTTTATTATTCACTGATGTTCTGTATCACAATTCTTATAAGAAACGGTAAAGTTTTTTGTTTTTTTAATAATATAATTGTGTAATTATGCTATGAAACAACACTAAATGTGAGTATATAATTAAATGTTGATAATAGAAACTGGATTGGCAATACACACCAATCATAATTATAGTATTTTGGCACTTGTGTATAAAGTTAAAATCATAAATAATATTCAACGTTAAACTG